GGGGTGGGCTGCCTCGGTGTCTCCCTGCTGGTCTCCATGTATGTGTATTGCTATTAGGCGAGGCAAAACGGTGATCGTTCGGCACGCAAAGTAATCGGAGCTGAGAACGGAGCTGAATCGGCCTGTAGTGACGTACGGGTTAATAATGGAAGCCAAGCACCGGAGGGGGAAAGGTGAGGAAAAATGAAAAACGGTGTAACTTCTGTGTTACCCTGGGTGGTGCCTGACATACATTACGAAAGGTGCATGTAGACTGGCGTCCAGAATAAATGGGACGAACTCACACACCTTGCATGAAAGCACTCCGAAACGACCGAACGTCCAAAGCAGTAGCAACCATGGTACACACGTGCAGTTTTCTGTTGTTGCCATGCATCCAGTAACTACTATTTTATCCTTGCTCATGAGAGTAGCGTAGACTCCCCCATGACACCCCCCCACACGGGCCCAGATCACGGCTTTCGAAGCATGTTGTGTTTTCATCCGCACTGAGGCTGACGTCTTTTGATTGGTCAGCCCGTTAGCGAGGTCGATAACAAACCAATAATAAAAGCACACCTTGAAATTTCAAATTTCTACGGTAAGCCCTTCGTTGACGTGTTCGCAGTGCCTTGGCCTCGGTGTTATGTATCAGGTGGAGATTTGGTGCGTATTTCAGCTCGGTGTCTTGGCTTCGGTAGCAGTCGCCGTGTGTACCACTCTTTTATACATCGTTTCCAGCAGACCACAGCGGACGGTTGCCCGTAGCTACACAGAGACAGCAGTTCCGTTCACCCGTTCGACCCATCTCGGCAGCACTTACCGGATGACATTCAGTAGCAACATACCATATTAGTCTACAACCTTGCACACAGCGGATTACCCACCCTGCAACACTCACCCAACTGATTGAAGTCCGGGTTTGCGTCAGGGATATCGGCATAAAACTGGTCGGGATACCGGACTGGGAATAGCGAAGCGTTCATCTTCCTGAGCTGGTTCACGTTCGCCGTTGTAATATTCCCGTAACTGATGCTCCGTCCACATGACGTTGTTACCATCTCTCTGGCAGGTAGAAACCGCTCCCACAAAATCGCGCTGCCCTTAGGTATCTTGTGTGCGGCTGAAGTCTCGGGCGCTGCCTCTGCCACAACAGTAAATCGAAAGCATGTGGTACCACGTACACACGCACGCTGGGAGAGGGACAGAGCTACACTGATGAATGCACCTCCTGCTATTGCATGTCAGCTGTTCAGGTATGTATTGCAAGCATTGCTCAAAACTGACTGGTATGCTGCTAGTATGCCACTTCGTACAGTCCGGCGAAACGCCTCCTTCCAAAATGCCGTTACACCCCTTCCTGTGTGGCAGTGCGGCAGTATGGATTTTTTTATGCAGCGTCGGGAGTGAGATATCACACACCATTAGCCCGCAACCCAAGCACCGCACCAACAGCTCTGGCCTGCAGGCACGACACATAGAAACAGAGGACAGTACGCGGAAATGAGCGCCCCCATTGTATCGTGGACCAAGGTGTGTCTCTCTGCTCTTTACATTTGGTATTGCTTGTCTACGGAATAGGCCCTAACATGCTCTGCCGCTGCAATATGCACTAGTCTATGCTGTTGGGCTGCATCATACAGCAGTGCTGCTTCTTAGACGGGCTATGCATACAATTGTACGTGTATTCAGAGCAAGGCGTGATTCGCTGGCGGTCCGTATAGTTGAAACAACGGTGGGCTGGTGCCCTTTTGCAGGAGATCCAGCCAAGCAGTGCACACAGAAACATGATCTACTGTACTGCTGTCTGTTTGCCGCCGTTGCTGAATCGCATGGTAGCACAGCAGCAGCAGCAGCAGCAGCAGCAGCAGCAATGGACGATTTGATACGCGTACGTTTAGTACATTTCAAGGAGCGGACGGTACACTGCCCCTCCTGTGTAGACATTTACTCGCTTGATTGTACTGACACTACACAGTGTGTCTACCCCACCCCATAATATTCTCCCGGCCCTTTGACTCCCCGACACGTACAGGCCTCTACCAGCGGTGAACGTGTTCCCGCACGAGGGGGGCATACCTGCGTTGTTGCTGACTTCCAACTAGTGGTATTTGGAGGCACATTCTACAAGGGAAATGTGAGGAGTTTGTCATTCAAGACTTGCGCAACAAACTTGTGAAAGAACCCTCTCTGAGAATGTTACCTGTACTAAATGCTCTCATCGCCCAGTTCAGACGTATTTCCAGTGGCTTGACACAAGGCGAGTGCCGCTTCGATTCAACCAAGAAGATCACGGATTCCACCGAATGACTAAGCGTATGTGTTCGCGCTTGGGGTCACAAGCATCTGATGACAGCAGGAGGAGCATCGAGAAGGTAGCGCATGTGCACATCTACAGCTTTGTAGCGGAGGGAGCAACAAGCCTACAACATTTACACATTCATTCCCTGATCGCAATGTTGCAGTCTGGTCTTCGGCGGCGATGCCTCGCGTCTTGCAAGGATATCCGCCCTTGACATAATACTTCTTCGTTGTCGCCGACATCCATCTGTGCCATTGCATAGGGTGAATTTGCGTACCTTGCCGATACCTGGGTGCTGGACATAGAGTCAATGACGTGGCAGGAAGTACGCTGTGGAGGAGATGTACCAAATGCTCGTTACGGGCATTCGTGCCACTTAGTTGGCTCGCGGATGTTCATCATTGGTGGAAAAGGACGAAGTGGGCAGCTGTACAGGGATGTGCATTTCTTGGACCTTGTTGATTGGACATGGGTTGCGGTAAACGCTACCTCTACTGGGCCATCTCCGAGGTGGGCAAACCCAAAGACGCGTAGATGTTACGCTGGCACAAGAGACGGGTACCGCAAAACTATGAAATCATCTACGCTATGGAGCCCTCTAGTTTAGGTGAGCGGAGAGTCCGGAGTGTGGTGGCGATGACCTGCCACCGGAGGCTGGCGACTTCCTTTGGTGCAATGTGGCGCACACACCATTTCATGTTTTTTGTCTATCGCCGTACAGATTTTGGCAGGCATCTGTTTTGGTTGGCCACAAGATTGTCGTCCACGGCGGCTGGAATGGTTCGAATCACTGTTACGAAGACCTCTGGGTGTTCGACACAGATTCGTTTGCTTGGATGCAACCGAGGACAGGAGGACTACCACCGACAGCAAGGTGTGTGTCGGGAGCGGAAATGCCACAAGTCACCTCTTCGATCACGGTGTGCGAGTGAGAGAGTCCGACACACCAAGACGAGCGAAGCCCTTTCGACTTGTTGGGGAGTAGGAAGCAATGTAGACTGCCTGAATTATTTGGCGGTGTCTCTTTGGTAGACAGTCTATATTTCCATCCCATTTAGGAATCGTCACTCTCGTCGTCTTCCTGCCTTACGGCCCCGAAAGTCACACAGGAGTCTACAGGATCGTGCACTCATACGAATGCAGTCGAACTTTCGACCAATATGTTCTCGTCGCGACACCAATCGTGGAGCGGATCGCCTTCCTACCCTACGCGTATAGACTGCGTGCATAGGGCTAACAGCAGAGTTGGCATTTGTTCACTTGTTGCAGGTACGGGCACGCAATGGTGCTCCTTCCTGATGGAAGAATACTGTTATCTGGAGGAGCAACTTTAGACGAGAAGTGTGTGCCCGTTTACCACAAGGACTTGAGGCAACTAGACACGGAAACCATGCTCTGGTCCAAGGCGAAAACTACTGGTGGTGAGAAGTACATTGATTGTTGAAATGTTTACGTTGGCGAGAGCAGCGGTTGCACGGCCTGAGAGATTGAAAACAACCGGTTGGTGTACTTGCAGAAACACAAGCTCTTGTGCAGTGAGACCGACCATCAATCTACGGTCGTGCTTACTACAGGTATTCGGATCTCATCGCGGTGTAACCACACGCTTACGTCTGACGAAGAGGGGCGGGCGGCACTCCTCTTTGGCGGGTGGGGTCTGGGCGGTCTTCAACACCACGAAAACAACAAGAGGGTTGGGGCGGTGACGCTTGCCGCTTGCAGCATGCTTCAACATGAAGCTGTGTCGACCAACCTTCCACTTCTTAGAGGCCGCGGGGAGCCAGAACACAAGTACGTGAGCTCTGTATCGGCACCGCCAAATGTTTGGAACCTACGGATACGGCAGTTCCTACGCCGGTTGTGTACTTTTGGCTACATTTTTGAACGAAGCGGGCCCCCAACGGCAGGCCACATTGGGCCCCAGGAACGCGTGCAAGCAGTGCAGTATCTCGGTCTCTTGGGTACGACTCCCATTGAGCGTCGCTTGGTAGGTCATCCACGAGAAGTTCGTGAAGCAAGCATTTTATTAGCTGATGCCTTAACGCACTGTCTTTTGCAGGTACGGTCACACGTGCGTTTCAGTGGGAAACGCATTCTTCGTTTTCGGGGGATGGAATGGTCAGCAAGCTTGCAACGAGATTGTAGTTTTCGAGCTGGAGTCAGGTTGATTGCAATCGGAGGCATTTTTGGCCAACAACTCACAAGCCAGCTGGCGCACGCGGGCAAGTTCGTGATGCGCAAGACGCCAGAGTTCAGTAAACGTGAAACTCTACAACACACGGGCGTGAAGTGTTGATGTCGGTCGCCCCCGTGGTCTACTGATTACCCTCGTACACCTAATTGCAGCAGGTTGTCAGTTGGATCCCCTCCGAAGTGTGAAAGCGGAGCAATTTTTGGTGAAAACCATTGTTTCGTGTGTGAACACATAAAGCCGACGAGGGAAAGGGACGGCTGAATCCTCGTCGCGAAAATAACTGAGGAAAGGTTGGGCGTTGGAACAACAACATGTAATCAAAACAGCAAAAGCTGTGTAAGCCAGGCTGATAGGTGATACACCCAAAGCCGTGTAGAATGGCGCCAGGACAGATGGCACGAACGAAACAAACGAAAAAAAAACTGCAAGAGATTTATGTGAAGCAGGCAGGCGCTATATGGAGCTTTCGACTGGATCTGTTCTCCGCCCAGGTAAACAGCAAGTTTAAGGAATTCCACGGGTTGGGGGGCCTTTTGCCATTTTTATGCCGGGATCGAGAAGATCGATTTTTTTTGTACTCATCCATGATACGATACTGGTTTGCATCTTGTTTGCATCCCTGGCAGGTACTCCGTACTCAGATACGCTCGCGTTGGGAAGTGTCCCGAAGGCCGTAGACTGGTAAACCAGGTCGTTATCAACACGAAACCGCATCAGTTGATACCTCCCGACATTGAGTCTAATCTAACATCACTACGGTGCCGTCGTCTTCTTCACTGAGCATACCCTCTATCCGGTTTAATACATCTTCAGGTATACTCGCAACAGCTTCCTCCTCCTCCTGCTGAATGAGCTTTTCTTTCAATCCCGGGTGGGCAGCCATGTAGGCGTCGTACTCCGCCTGCTCCTGCGCCCGTGCTTCTGCACCAATATCGGGCTCATCCGGGAATGCATTGCGGTATTCTTCTTTCATTGAATCTAAGATGGCAGAGTTGAAATGACGATCCTCGGGCTGGTAGGTTTTCGCCAACTCCGCCAATTCTTCGTCGAGGTCTGGGAATCTTCGGCGATACTCGAGTCGCGCCATATATGGCACGTATTCCATATTCCAGCTCATGTTAATCTCGTCGTCCTGGGAGACAGGCGCAGCAGCAGACACGTTCAGGGTCACCATACAGCGGTACTTGGAAGGCGCAGAATGGGCCGTCAAGACGCCTGATTCCCGCGCGCGGTCGCCATGTCCTGGTACTGCTTATCCTGCACGTTTAACGGTCCCGGCATTGCTTTGTTTGATACCATCGGATGTGCTGAACTGCGAGATAATATGTGCGTAGCCCAAAAAGCGGCTGCAGGAGAAGAGTTTGCATCAGGTCTCCCCGAAAAAGGACCAAGTGCTTTGGCAATCCCGACTGCACATGTGGACTTCAACCCACGTTCCACAACAAAAGGAATACAAGCGGCACAAAGGTAACAAACATGAGTTGCACCATGTTCCCTCACCTTGAGAAAATTCGGCTCGGCCTCAACCTTACCAGCAGCCTTATACCCCTCGAAGTACTCCGCCAGATCATCCGTGATCGTGTGCTTTGGGCTCCAGCCGAGCAACCGCTTCGCCTGAGCGAAGGAGAAACAACGATACGTTGAGGGGTCAAACGAGAGGACGGGGTCGATGACGGAGTGTGCCCAAGATTGAACTTAGGAACAGTATAACTCTCGAGGGAAAAAACTATTGCAGTGTTGACGGAGCGGTTGCGTTGCACGGCAGGGATTTCACCCGTTCGGCTTCACCCCTTGACTATTCTAGAAGAGAAGGACATCGGTCCGTTCCATGAAGTTGTCAACAAAAACACGGCACAACTACACTCCGTGATAATCGTGCCCTCGTTCAAGTGTTCATGGAGTCACGCTTTCGAGCAAGACTATGCGGAAACCCACTAATACACGCACACCATCGAACACATGCATGCACCAGTAACACGATGGTTGAAATGCGCGTCAATGTAGGGAGTGGGTTTTCGACTACGCAGAAATGTGTTGCCGATGGACAAGTGAACGTACTAAATAGACATTTCTAACTACTTTTCCCGCTTCTCCGAACAGGCTTTCTGGACTCCAGGCCTCGGATGGGATCACCACTGGTGTTCGTGCACAGCGCACCTCGGAAAAAACTCAATTTTTAATTCACTGAACCAAGGAGGGTCACGAAACACGTATATTCATCAGGTTTTCGCGGTTCTTCTCTGACGGTACACCGTAGCTAGAAACTATGTACTAACGTGCACACCGATAGACCACTTCGATCCGCTCCGTGATGTTGCCAAAACAAAAACCGTTGTTCGCCCCACGGTACACAGCAATCCTTGCTACTCGAGGAGATTTTTTCCCTGCGATTGATCGCCCCACTCCACGTCGTGGTTCAAATTGAAGAATACCGCAGGAAGCGGATTCTCACTCTGCCAGTATCGTTGCAAACTCCCGACCTTTTACCTGCAGAAGGTCTTGGCCGTAAACTCATTCCAATGCAGCAAGCGAAGTATCGGTGATATGTGGGGCTCTCCGGTTGCTGCCAGCGACGCACAAGAACAACGCAACGTCACAACAGGACGCCTCCAGCGCAACAACGTTAAACATAAATGGCCGAACGTCCCCTGACTTACTTTTTCGCTGTTGACAACGAAGTGGTTGTTTCGGAAGGGGAACCAGCCCTTTTTGAGGTCATAGTCTCGAGGCTCGTAGTAGTACGCCATCTTGGAGACAGCGGGCTTCGCCACCTGTCGCAGCGAACATAAGGACCAACAACGTGCGTAGCTTGAACCACATGCAGCGCTTACATTGAAAGCGCTGCAACACCATCGCTCCCTTTGCAATCTGCCTGGATTCAAACTGCGCCAGTAGCCTCGAGAGCTTTGGCCAGACCAAGATAGGTACTCTCGCAGCAGCAGCACACGCTGAGCTTCCGTTTCCATACGAAATGTCCTACAGGATAGTGTCATACCTTCCCGACTTCACGGAAGAGCCCGTTGTACGTGATGTACCTGTCAGATGCGCAGTTAAAAACCTGTGGACAGTCACTGGTGTCAGTATCAGGGTGCTCTTCAGGAAGCGATTCGAGAGACGAAAAAAAAGGCAACCGCGGGTCTTGCGCTGAGTCAACATCCTCAGCTGAAATTAGCCCAGACAGCTCCTCAGCAAAAGCCACATACCGCCAACGCCCTACGATTCCTGCCACACTGCTTCTTTTCGACAACTGCGAGCACCCACGACCGACCCTTTCGCTCTTTACCTGATCCACGGCACGTTCGTTCCCAACGACGCTAGCGAGCATGGATGCCACATCCTCCGCGTGGGTCAGGGCGACGAGCTGATCGCCGTGCAAGGGCAGTGGAATAAATTCCAATCCATGCACGACACGGTCGAAGAACCAATCGAGGTAGTCGCGCTTGTTGGTAAGTGGCCCATAGATATACTGTGGCCTGAGGGGGGATTCGAATAGCGATGGCGGGAAAACGCAAACGTGTGTACTTTTCGGGTATACTTTGAACGGTGCGTACACGAGGCCACTTCTTGTCGATGCGCGAAAGAGCTAGGTCCTTGCGCTTTGAGGTCGTACCATTTGAGGTAATGTACATGTGCGCAATCAAACAAAGTCTATTAGGTTCATTCACGACAACGTACACAGATGGCTTTCAAAAACGCCGCACAGCAGTGCTGTGCATAGAAGAGTTGGTCAGATTCGCACGTCTCACCGGAACGATGTCCAGGGCAGACCCAAGTCAGCGACGTACTTCTCTACCTGGCGCTGACCGCTCTCCTTGACGTCGCTGCTTTCAGTGAACGGCACCTGGGAACGGCGTGCAATACCATGACTTTGCGGGAACAATTGACCACGTCCTAAAATGAGGGAACGGAAAAAGCTGTACTTTGTTCTTCATCAAGTGCCTGTCCTTTGCTGTGGTGCCAACCAAGCCCACCTCGTCACTGTCCTTGTACATGCCGCCCGAAGACACGTATGCGTAGTTCTTCACACCCCTGCAACACAATACAAATACCGCAGCGATCTAGGCATTAACAGTATGGAAGTGCTGCAACAGTCGACAAGTCAGCGCATCTTGATGATTTTGAGCGAAGGCCTTCGTCTCCGCACGAAGCTGTAACAATCCAAACAAGAGCTGGCAGGAATGGATACGTCCCACGTTCAGAACACCTACAGTATAACAAATAAGCATCACGCCTTGCTTACAAGCAATATGCCGCGCGCTGGTGACACACTCTGTAGAGAGTGCAGCGATGCCTACTGCGTCAAAACAACCCCAGCTATCCTCAATTTCCCATGTGCGTTTGCATTGTACAATAGATACCAACGACGGTCTGTGGGCATCAACTACGTTCCCCTATGGTCATGCTACTCGCTACTCGGTATTGGATGACGGCCATGACCATGACAACAAGCTCCAGACGAACACGAACCATGCTTTGGAGCAGTCTGCCAAGTCTTTGCAGGTGTCAACGTCCTTCGCGTAGTTGTCGAATACATAGTCGAAAGACTCCCCTTCCGGGATGAGCTTGCCTACGCCCTCAGAAAAGTCGCCCCACACGATTGTGGCCCCCTTGCTCTCCAAATCTCCGTAGCTGCAACAGCAAGTAGCAGAGAAGCAGAGGCAACGGAAACATCATCAATGCTTTCTCATTGCCGCACGCATGCCAAGCCGCACATCACTTCGCGAGACAAGACATGTTGACTTGGCCGTTGTTGGTACCAGTATCCAGTGCGGCAGAAGTCAAACCTTTTCAAAGTCGCCCGGGGTGCTTGAAAGAGTATCCTTTGATTTTCATGAACAGAACTGCTGTCTTCTGTTCGAACCCCGCTCCAACAATCGTGCCTCTGTAAACCAAAACGAAATGTGTAAGGCGCAACCTGTCGCCAAGAACAGATGTAATGATATCACACGCGTACGGCACGTGGTCGATATGAACCAAACACCACAATGCCCCTTACACATATTTTACTGTTCCTCTCACTTGACACCTATTCGAAGGTGTGACGTACCTAAGGTGTCTACGCAACCGTCTTTGATGCGTAAATCCACTCTGGGTGAAAACAACTATGGGCGGCAACCAAACCCTGCGAATAAATTCTGGCATTTCACATTTAACGAACCTAAGTATTTTCCAGAAACTACAGCAGTAGGACGACATACAAAGTGACGGGCCGGTATTATTCCATAAAATACAAACATCAGCAGGACTGCTGCATGCACAATTGCAGCAGTAGTACAAACGGCGGTAGTCAAAATACTGTGCACCAACCTTGCAAACGGTTGATTGTCCTTGTTCTTGCCGGCGCCGTCTTGTAGCAGCGTCACAGAGATATCCTTCTCGATCAGCTTGAGAGCTAGGTGGTAGCCAAGCTCACCATGTCCACCCCCCTTGTTCTGTGCGATCAGAGCTTTACCTTTTCGGGAATATGAAACATGCCGTCACCGACGGGTCCTGACTTGAGACATGCGGCGCAATCATGATCCTCAGATCTCTGATCCTCTGCTGATAATTGAGATTAATTGGTCGCCCTGCCGGTGTCTATTGCGGGCACATGCAGTGGCCGTCAGTGGCTGTCCTCATGTGACGGTGTGGCGGTCGTTGGAGGCCGCACGCTACTATTTGCTGCTGGCGTGCTCTCCTTACTACTCCGTACTCGGTGAGGAAACACACCTGACATGGTCGTGAAACCCTGAGACGCTCGAGGAGAAGCAATTGGTTGACGCCCGACAGGTATCGAAGGCGCTACAAAGGCGCTCCCTAGGTGAACGCCTAGAGCGGCGCCCACTGACAGACATACCGAAGAACCAGAGGTCAACATGCTGCTCTCATGTATGTGTACGTCGGTCCTTGGCGGCACCTCCAGCCCACCTCGCAGTCTGACACTGAAGACGGGGGGTGGCAAAACTCTATCGCGTACCCCCTCCATCGCCGCAGATCCTGGCGTGTCCTGCAGCTCCCGCGGCCCCACCGCTTCTTTGGTTGGTCGGACGGCTACCACCGCCGTGTCCTTAGCTATGGTACATCGTCGACTTGTTCTACTAGGCTTGGCGGTTGTCGTCCTGTTCGCTGTTGACGGTGCTGCAGCTACTTCAAAGGGTGCTCCACGAGCAGGAAGTCAACAACGCCGGTCGGCGAAGGCCTCACGGAGCAGCCGTCCCAGCCGCAGGGACATTGACGAGGATGAGCGAGAGTTTCAGGGTTGGGACGGCGAAACTAAAAAGGGAACAAGGAGGTCATCTAGTAGCAAATCTAGTCGAGCAGCACGTGATGATGAGTCGGTTGGCAGGCGTGTGCGGCCATCGTCGACACCAGGGTCATCTCGTTCGAGCTCGAGGTTGGTCCCGTTTGCGAGGGTTAGACGCGTGGCAACATGACATGACAGCACATTCAACATTGTTGCCTGGACACCAAAGGCGACGTACAGTTCTGAAGAGGTGGAATACACCTGCGAGAAGCTGGCACGTCGATGTTGAGTCGATGTGATTTTCATGTAGGTGGGGGGGGTGTTTCAGCGTTCCGGAAAACATGCTGTATGTAACACAAAATCCATCCTACAAACAACCGCACATTTTTCACTCTGTTTTGCAGGTATGAGGAAAGCGGGACTTCGCGACGCAGGAGCCGAGGGATGGAGCTGGTGCCTAGCAGGCGTAGCGCACCTAAGAGTAGCATGCTATCAGGTTTGGCAGCTACGATGAAAGGCAAGGCTGCCTCAATGCAAGAAGATGCCAGGGGCAAGGTGAGCTATGCCGCGATGTCATGTGTGAGTGCGCCGCTCTGTGAGGATGGACAAAGGACCGGGTACCGGTTCTCTGTACTCATGTACCTACTTCATAGCAGATTCTGTGAACTGCTGGCGGCACCACGACAAGCCAGCTTGCTTGCTAGGATATGTGCGCATGAAGATACGAGCCGGTGCCCAAACTACTAGATCGATTGCAGATTTTTGTTTTGACATGTGCAATTATGTTTTGTACATGAGGTTTACAAGTGCAATATATTCTAAGACCCATGTTTACGGCCGCCGAATCTTTTGTGAAAATGTCGAAATTTTCAAAGATTGCGGAACAAGATTTTGTTTCACTTTTTATCGGAGAAAATCTTTGGCAAAATCTTCCCATATAATTTCTAATGGGGCAAGGGTCGCTCGTTCGACAAATTGTTTGACAAACATTTTTAAATGGGGCAGGTCGCGAAAATCTTTTCCAAGAGCGGCGAGATTAGTAGCCGACCGCCCCTTCCGTCCTAACCACCAACCACTGCGCAGCGCACACTCAATGTAGCAAGCTCATATTGTAGAGGGATCCGACAACCTTAGAGTCACCGTGTGCACGTTTTGCTGGATGATACATGGCGGGAGCTCGTCCAGCGTGCAAAAAAAACAAACAGACGGGGGTGGTTTGGAGGGCACGGAGAAAGCGTGGTTTTTGTCTCCGAACGGCAGAAAGTCGGCTGCTTGAGGGGAGACGTGAGGACAAATCTATCCAGCTCTCGTCCACTAGACCATCAATTCATAGTTTGTCTTCTTGGGTTTCTTCTCCATCAAGGCTCCCATCCGGGTGTGCGTGGTTCAGCAGTGGACGTACTCAACAGGCAGGGAGGCGCGTCGCTGTGAACTCGACGTGTTGAAAAATATTGTTTGGGACTTGATGTGCCTCCCTGCCGACTGAGCACGGCCACTGCCAACCCACGCGCAACCGGATGAGAGTTGTTGATGAAGAAGACACCCAAGAAGAAAAAACATGAATCGATGAACTAACGGGCGGGGGCTGGATAGTTTTGAACTCACGTCTCCTCTCGAGCGGCCGACTTTTTGCCGTTGGGAAGCGCTGACGCACGTTTTGGTCTCTTTTTGACACCGAAAACATTTTTTCTCGCACGCCCGGAGCGCTATTGCCACATATTGGCGGGCACAGCATCAGCTCAGTGCATTAAGGGTTGTCGGGAGCCCTCTGCGAGCTCGTTACATTCAGTTTCCATGACGCATTTGGGGTTTGTCTGTCACAAATCGTTTGGTAGCGGTAGACCACGATTCCGCCCGCGCTTCTGATGCATTCCGAGAAAACCACACGATAAGGTATTTTTTCGCATAAAAGCGATACTCAAATGTTCCTCTGGCAGATATTCGCGCGCAAATGTTTGACAACATTTGAAGATTTATTTCCAACATGTTGAAACCATAAACATGGGTCCAATGTCAATGAAAAGTGTCAATCCGATTTACCGCCTTCTGAGACATGAATCCTTTAAATATGACCCATTATGCATGTGAAATGGACTATAAGGTGTTTTATAAGGTGTTTCACGCTACCAAGCGCAGGCACAATATGTTTTTGTGACAGGGTTTTCGATTCAGAATAATTTGACTGGCCTTGTCACAAGCTATCCACAACGATACGATTTGACTTTCGCCTCCAGGTGACAGAATGGAGGAACATCGCAAAGACGACGGTGTGGTTTTCGAGCAAAATGGAGAAGTTCATGATCCAAATGACATGGCCGGATGATGGAGCTCTCGACGATGCCTGGGTGAAGGTAAGCGCCGTGTGGTCCTAAAGAAGTTGCCTCGGATTTAACATTTCGGGGTGTCCGAATGAAAGCGTCATTATTTATCCCGATGTTTGAAGATGTTGCGAAATGCATATTCGTATGCGTACACATCAGCAAGGGTGCCTGCTGGAGCGGGCTCAAGAAAAGCAGAGCAGTAGTCATCACCACGTGGCGCAAGATGAAAACGACAGCTGGAAAAGCTGACTGCCAGACGTGATGTTTTCCAAGCTCGAACAGCCCACACAACGTACTTGAAATAAACAGGAAGACTGGAGGAACCCAACGAACCAACACCGGCCAAATTTTTTTTACCGATCTGTCGTCAGTCTTGCGATTCTAATTATCGGCCCCTGTTCTCTGCTGGCAAATGCAGGACACGATGAATTTTCTCGAGAGCGCTGGGAATGAGCCTCCTCGCTCGCCCAACAACCCCAACAAGCGCATACTCAGGAAGCTATGGTTGAGGATGACAGAAGGAGACTACCGAACCAAGCTGAAGGCGTTACAGATCTTGCACCACACCACGATGGATCTCAGCTCAGAAGCCAACGACCGGTAAGGTGTTGCCGTACAAGGCAAGGGGCCAAAGGTAGGATTTCAACGTTCTCAGATGAGCTTTGTAATGACGAGCACCTAATACATGGTACTCTTTTTGCTTCTCGCCATGGTGCCGTTTTCTCAGGGTGAGGAACCAGTTCATGAAGATGAGGGACGAAACGAACCACAAGAATCGCAATGAGGTGTACTTCGAGGTGAGAGCTGTGGTCCTGTATTTGCCTGGCTAAAAGACATTGCGCCCCCACGCGGAAGAGACCAGGATTAAACGAAAAGGGAAGGTACCGATGCCATTGACCGAATTTTTTTAGACGTGGTTGGGAGAATCTTCTTCGTTTGCTAAGCGTTGGCGACGTGTTGAATGCGCGTTTGGCGCTCACAGGGGGCACGTGGACGCAACTTACTACAGAAGGTACTGCTTGCAATGATATGATAAGTATGTGTCAAGCTATCTAGTGACCACGGCAATCCATCCGTTCGCCATTGAAGAGTATGAAAGAGAAGGTACTGAACGGAGGTCAATATGGTTTATAGTTTTTTGTGTGAAGGCAGCAACAATAACAACAACGAAGACCACAACAGAAACAACACCTCACGATTCGTTTTTCCTGATTGTGGACCCGCCCTCGCTCATTCTCTGGTTCGGCAGCCTGCGCGCATCATGGACGTTACCAGCTCCGGTATGCCGTTTCTACCGCTTCTGCGGTCCTACTCTTCGTTCACGTTGAGGAGAATGACTGAGGTGCAAGGCGGGCCGAAACAGGTGTGTGGGAGAGTTGCTTGATTTTCGGGCAACCAGCCATGTTGCCACCGCGCGGTTGTGTCGAACCTCGAATTTCTTGATCTTGTCTGAATGCCGTACTCGCCGTCCGTGGGTACGAGCAGATAGCATCAACGCTTCGGAGCAAGAAGACCTCGCAACCAGAAGCCGTAGCGCTCCTTCGGTGCTTGGACAAGCTCATATGCACCGGGATGGGTTGCAAGGTACGTGACGCCGTGCAGGTTGACTTCATGTCATGTATCCGCAGTAGTACGCACTCCCAGCTGGTACCCCCGAGATATATTTTCTGTTCCCACCTCCGCGTTTTCCAGCCGTCTAGAGTACCTGTTGTTGGATTTGGTGTCTACTGTTGTTCGTGGGAATGGTATCCGAGGCAGCATCTATTGGTCACCTCCCTCGAGATGTCATACTGGGTGAAGTGAGGACACTCGCGCCTCCCGCCATGTTTGTTTCGATCGGCTCAGGTGGACCGCAAGACCTTGAACACTATCACGGGGCAGGTGATGCAACTTACTGCGAGAGACTTAATGACCTTGTGGAGACTATACGTGAAGGTGAGCGTTTACAATATTGACAGAGAACGATACCGCTTCGTTCGTATTTTCATAACGTGAGGAAAACCCAGAGTGCACTGGAGAGACAGGCCCTGTTGGACATCCTCTAGCCGAAGCACAGCTGTAGTGTGTAAGCTGATGTGAGATGAATCCCTGCCGGCTACATGGACAGTGCTGTCGGTTCTTGATCCAGGGACACGTCCCCGTTTCCTTGTTAATTTACAAGACGTCTTTTCTTGTGGCCTTGATTAAGCCACACCTGATGCGAGCAACACGAAGTGTATTGCTGTAGGTTCACATGTGACATTTGTCCCATCCCCCGTGGGCACTTCTTGCACAGGGTCTGACGAGGTTGATCAAGGGCGGGTACAAGGAAGGAAGAACGCCTGCGCCGGAGGC